AAAATTAATCACCTCATTGATAATTAGGAAATGATCTACATAAAAATTGACCAATCATACAAATGTCTGCCATGCTATCATATGATTTACTATGCTTCATGACTTGATTTTACTGGAAATGTTTCCATATAATAATACACAAAAAAAATTTCTATAAACTTTCATATTAATAAATATTATAGAGTTTTTAGAAGAAATCTTTATTTTGCAACTTTTATTATTTTACAATTAAATGAAGTTAAAATCTACTGTTAATTAGCATTATCTTTTAATAGGATATAATAATAAAAACAAATTTATGAATTAATAAACAAAAAAAAAGTAAACTATAATTTTTACTATAAATCCAAAAAGAGGTTATTAATGATTTAATTAAAACCTTTTCCTTTATAAATATTTTTTTAAAAAAGTTAATTAACTCCTTTCTTTTTTTTAAAAAAATATTTTAAAGAAGGTGATGCAATTCAACAAGCTTTTATATATTATCAAATATATTTACCTAATATTTTTGATAAACATTTTCTTTATTTCAAAATTTTTTAATCAAAAATCTGTTGCAATAAAAATGAATAAGATTATAAATAATTGTTTAAAAAATAATATAAATATACTTTTTAACTTTTACAAAATATTAAACTTGTATTAAATAACTTTTTAGAGTGTGTGAATAATTTAACCAATAGGTAAAATACTTTTAACACTTTTAAAAAAATTTCTATTTCCTATTAAAATTATATTTTTCAGATTATGCATTATATATGAAAAATTTTATAAAAAATTTAAAATTATAATATCACAATTAATTTATGTATCATATTTAGCTTACATTATAAATCTTATTGGATAAACATAAATTAATTTTATTAAATTTGCAAATTATTATTTAAATTTTATTAATATTAATAATTATTTTTATTAATATATTTTTACCAGTAGTACTTCAAATTTTAATCTTTAAAATTATTATTATTCAAAATTAAGAAAATATTTATATATGTATCAACATGAAAAAAATGTTATTTAACTCATATCAGAATATATAGAATTAAAAATTCTTGTAATATTTTTAAAAAAAAGTTTAATATAATAGTTTATAATAAAATCTTAAATGATAAACATATAAAAAGAAAAGTAATTATTTTTATATTTTTATTTGATTATTTTATTAAGTATTTGAATTTATAAAAGAATTAATTTATAAATAATTATTCTATTTATATTATATCTATTTATTATATTATAAATCAAATAAATTTGTAACTATAAGTATAAAATATAAATATAAAATTATATTTAATATAAAATATATATAAAAGAAAATAAATACTTTTATAAAATTAATATAAAAATAATAAAAAAAAAATAATACAAAAATAAAAAATTAATTAATTTATTATTTTATAAGTATCAATAATTAGCATAATAAAATTGATTTCATCAATATAGATAGATGTATGTATTGTAATAAAAAGGAAGGAAAATTAAATTTTTTTTTTTTTAAATTAATAACTTATTTACTAAAAAAAAATTATATTTAGCTTTAAAAAAAAATAAAATTTTTTTTATAATTTTCTTTTCTATCGCTATTACAAAAAAAAGTCTTATATAAAATTTATTTTTTTTATTAAATGAAAAAAAATTTTTTTAATGTAAATCATAAAGAAAAAAAAAATCTAATTTCTAATTTTTTTATAAAATTTAGATTTTTTTTCTTATTAGTTTATAAAAAACATTATCTTTCTTAGTAGTTTATAAAATTAAATTAAATTTTCATTAATTTAAATTATAAGTTTACAATTATTAAAATTAATAAATTAAATTTTTAATAATAATGAATTGAATTTTTATATAAACTTATAGAAATTTTATAAAAATGATTTTGAAATTTACTATTACTTTTAATATTTTATTATTTATAATAAATAATCTTCATTTTTACAAGAAAAAAATTATTATATGATTCAAAATTAAAGAGTAGATAAATAGGTATTTTTTTTTCTTTTGATTTGCTACTTTAATAGATTTACTTATTCTACATAAAATAAGTATTAAATTAGCTATTTTAAATGAATTTATAATTCTATACCTATAGAATTAATATTAAAATCAAATATTTTTTATAAGAAGGTTTTACTAAAGAATGGTTATTGATTAGCTAATTATTATTAAATAATTTCAAAATAATTAATAGTAAAATTTTCATATATTTAAAATCAGCCTAAGATATATATTCTATAATAATAAAATAACTTTATTATATATATATTATTTTTCTTTTGATATTCAATTAATTTAAGTAAAATTCATTAACCTAATAATTCTTTTAAGATTTTTTAATAATAATACTATTATAAAGTGTTAAGCAATCATAAAAATTATTGGATCAATTATATGGTAAACAGAGAAATGTACACAGATCACTTGATAATTTTTTTATAGTGCATAGACATATATAGTCCTTCACTTCGCTCAGGACAATTAATCTATCTTAATCTAAAATTTTTTATATAAACTAATAAGTATTTGATTGATTTATAAAAAATATATTTTCTGATAGGATTTCTTTTAAGATATTATAATGATATATAATTTTCTTATAATATTTATATTAACTTACTTCAAAAATTTAGTAAACTAATCTATGATAATTATAATATATTAGTTATTATTATTTGGTTTATAGTAAGAATTCTTTAATATTTATCTTTATGTAATAAAATAAATTAACCATTTTAAAATTTAATGATTACTTTTTATACAGGTCTTTATTTCCACAAAGTAAATATATTTTTGTGTATTTTAGAATAATAATATCTTTATATAACTTGTTATATATACTACTTCTCATTTTTAAGTAGATCCACTTATAAATAAGTGAAGATTAAATAATATAATTTCTATTTAAGTGGTATATAATTATATTCTATAAAAAAATAATTCATCCGCTATACTTTACTTCAGCTTCATATTCTTGTGATATTAAATCCACATGATAATTCTCTTATTATGTTCTTTATTAAGTTAATTTAAGAGCCAATGCTTTTATAATCTGTTTCTACTAAAAAATATATTCATTCTCATCTGAATTAGAGGTTGGAATCGTATTCGACCTTCGGATTTAAATCCGGTTTCCTCCGGTTTAGATTTAAACCGGATACAAAATTTGCCCAGCAGAAAACATGATTTAATATATTTGAATTATTTAAACCTCCGGATTATTATATCCGGATTTATTTAAAACCCCGGTAATCCGGTAATCAAGGTTATTTTTGATCATCATACAATGCGCGTCACAATTAAAAAAACAATTTATTTATAGCTAAACGTTTGCGTCTAAAGCAAAGAAACGAAAATACTAATGCTTATCGTTATTATTATTTTCGTTTGTAAATTTTAATTTAAACTTAAAATTGAATTGATTTACAAAAGCTACGCTAATAATTATGCTATGTGGACAACAAGTGATGATGTTTAATTTCATCTTTATTAAAATATTATTAAAGCGATCGAAACGAAGAATAAAAAAGGTAAATTGAAAAATTGAAAGCTAAAAAAATAAAATAAAATAAAAAAATACATACCCGCGAACTTTCGATGGCCACGGCCCGCAGCGATTCAATCCGACTAAAAAAATTAACATAATTTAATTAAAAATAAAATTCAAAGAAACATAACTATTTATCGAATCCGAATCGCCTAAAAAAAAAAGATAAAATGAATAAAACGACATTATAAAAAACTTTTTATGTATTCAGCCCGAAAAGTATCCTAAAGAATAAAAAGGGCGCATTTAATGTTTATATGTTTTATCTTTTTATCGTTCTAATCAGATTTATTGCATAAGAAAAATTTTTCGTTAAGCAATATTTACATGTAAAGAATTACGAAATTTCTAAACCTCATCTAGCAATGCTAGCTGTTGTGGCTTTTTCGGATACAATAAATTCTATAATAAATCCGGTTCCAATTTTTGAAAATAAATAAATCCGGATATAAAAAATAAATCCGGTTCCAACCATGAAATCACTAAAGAAATATTAAGTAAAAAATTAAGGTTCAATTTCGAAATAGGTAATAAGTGAAAAAATCCTTATCGTGGATTAATTAATCACTATTTAATTGAAAAGTCAACTTGAAAGATTTTTAACTTGTATAAATAATATGACTTGCATTGTCTTTTTTTTTTCTTTTTCAAGATAATAAAATAGGAATGATATAATTAAAAATGAAAATGAAACGACATGACAGCTATCATGATTACGAACTAAATTAAAATTAAAAGATCAGCAACGGTTTTTTATAAAAAAATACAGCCTAGATGAGGCTAATTGTGGCTTTAAAATATTTATTTGAACAAAAAAATAATATTTATATCGAAATGTCGCATTTTGTCAAAAAACATCGGTTAACAATAATGAGCCTTAATAATGATTGGTATGATAATATTATTACCGAGAATGGAATATTAAATATACCTTATGAACAAATTAGCAATGAACGAAAGAGGATAGGATTTGGAAGATATGGTATTGTTTACAAAACGACCTGTAATTGGATTGAAGGAGACGTAGCTGTTAAAGAGGTTTATGTGAGGTCGGAAAATTATCGAGAATGTATTGAGAATTTCATTAATGAGGTACACAAAAAAAATTTATATATATGTATATACTCTCATTTCCGATAGATTTTTAATTAGAGATCGAAAATCTTTTTTACTAGGTGAAAATTCATAACCGCGCGCGTAATAAAAGAATAATTCAACTTTATGGAATAAGTCGAAGTTAGTTGTTCAAAATTTCAAAATACTCTAAAAGATCCTTCAATTAATTATAATTTGTTTTCCCAAGACAGAGAAAAGAAACTATATTATATTGTGATTGAATATGCGAATGATGGGACATTATGCGATTATATAAATAAGAAAGATTTGAAGGAAAGGATACGTCTCGCAACACAAATATCCGAGGGACTTTCGTACCTTCATAACAAATTAAATATTTCACACCGAGATTTGGTAATTATCAAAATGTCACACATGAACGTAATAAGTATTTCAAAAAAAGACATTGACAATACACTTTTCTTTGTTTCAGCATATGAGAAATATCCTTGTAAAAGATGGTAATATTAAAATATCGGATTTCGGAATGTCCAAAGGTTTAGATGATAAGAACAAATCCTTTGGACTTTTACCGACTTTTAAATCGTGGAAATTATCAGCATTCGCTTTGGATAAAGTATCTGATATTTATAGTTTAGGAGTTATTTTATTGAAACTTTCGAATTGTCGTCGAACATTATTTCCTAAAGAGCAAACAAGAAAACGCGAAAAAACAACAATGACTTCAATTTTAAAAGAATTACAATTTAAACCACTTGAACCAGTTTATTTAAGTACAATCAAAAGAAATCATCATATAGATATACAATTTTAAAGATAAAATTTTATCGATCCTTTTTAGGCATTTTAATGATTCATAGACGGATATGATTTCACATGACGAAGTCAAGTTGATTACTAAGATAATTACGCCATAATCTAAAAATGTTGACATAATAAAATTTTTAATTTTTTTTAATAATACAATTCTCATAATCTTGAATGCATTTATACCTATGTTTTTTATTATTATTATCTTTATTTTTTTTATATACAATTATAATTACTTTATAATATATCTATGATTTAATAATTTAATAATTAAAAAAAGGTTCTATTTTTGAATGGGTTGTATTCGCAATCGATTGTTCATAAGATGGTGGAAATTCATAAAAAGGGGAGTTGTGATTAAAACCTTCTAAACTCGGGGAAGCAAACGTAGAATTTCGGGAAGAATTATTATCATTATCATCAAAAGGACAATAAATGTCATCAGCGTATTGGGGTAAGTCCTCAGCACATTTACTAGAAAGTATTGTAATAGGAACGTCCACTTTAACTTCAGCTTTCTTCTTCTTATTATTATAATTTTCATAAGGTAACTTTATCGTGAAAACGAATTTAAGGAGGTGTGAAATTTTGATCGAAGTAGTTTCACATGAGTAATGTAAGTGATTTGTAGATTTTGGAATGGGAAACGAAATGTTTTTTTGATAAAATAAATTCTCGAGATCATTCCCTTCTTGACCACAGAAATCCTCATCTTTATATAATGACAAATTACGTAATTCAATATTTTTTTGACCTCTCGCTTTATAAAGGGATTCTTCGTCGATTTGTATTTTAACCCCGACAACTTGCATTCTTTTCACTCGAGGGGTTAATTTCAGGTCAATATCAATGGAATCACCCATGGGATAAGCTCTCTTAGGAATGGTAATTTCATAATCTAACTGATCGTTCCAATTACTCGCGATGGCAATTCCTTCAGAATTTCTTTCTTCGAGGATGGTTCTAATTATAGGTACACGTTGAGAGACGTGTAGGTTTGGAAATAACCCGGATCGAATCGCCGCAGCACTTAATTTATAATTCACCGTACCACGAACAGCCTCGATCGTTTCGGGAACTTTACCCGGTACGAATAGTTCAAATGGATATTTATGTATTCCGGCAGGGATTAAGTGAAATCTTGAGGATGAAGTAAATATTGAAGATGAAGTATCTGAAGGACTGGAGCTAATGACACTGAATCTATATGGACCTGAAGTTGAACTTATCGGTGAAGGAGGTGACGTTTTGGGTGATGAATTAGGTGGTGGAACAAACGTCCAGTCATGTGCCATTATTTCTTGTTCCTCGCATAATTCATTACGATTCGCACTCGATCCTATGAAAATGAATCATGAGAAAATTTAGATTTTCATAACAAAAAAAAAAAAAAAAAAAAATTTCAAATAATTACCATAATAAATTTTTCCCTCGGGCCAAAATGTTTTCATTCTTCCAGTAAATCTCATATCAATTTTACGAATTCTCGTCGGGTTAGATAAATTTAATATCAATTCACCTCTAAGAAAACTTCCTACAGACTCATCAGAATCTCCTCTAAAGTAAAGGACAGGTTCAACCAACTTGATTTGTAAATATGATGAAGGAGGGGGTAATATTTTAAAAAGTTTTAGTAATGATGAACGAGATTTTGCATGATGATTGGGTGATTGTTGTTGATGTTGTTGTTGAGTTGATGCGTCCGAGGATGTTCTTGACATTGTAGGAATGTGAGAAAATATGCAAAAATGAAGAGAAGAAATGTAGAATTGATGATAGAAGAGATAATCGTTTATAAATATAATGAAATCAGGTTTAAAACAATTTAATTGATTATGATTGTGTGAACAATATTGATACTATTTTTTTTATGATTGTTACACTATACAAGAATAAAGAAAAGTAAAGGATTAAAATTTTGTGAAAAAGGAATTTTTGGAAGATATTTATAATTGTTACAAATATTTTTTAGGTGAATGAATAATTAAATTTTAAATTACCAATACTGAGTTGCGAGTACCTAAACCCTCGGGGGCATTGCCGTTAAATTAATTAAACAAATGCAGATTATTTTAACTAATTTAGTTTTATTTCCCGATTTGGGACCGGATGGTTCGGTTCTTATTTGAGTTTGGCAGCTCTTTATGATTACTTTGTTATCACTCAAAACATTTTTTTTTACTTACCAAGTCACTTGATGACTATTGAATGACACACATCACTTCTAAATTATAAATAAAAAAATTTGGATGTCATATTCATTCTCTTTACGTGGCAAATTTCTCTAATCCGAATTTTTTTCCTTTTTCCTTTTTTTTGAATTTTTGAATTTTTCTGGTTTTAAATCAAGGACAATTCCAACTTTGCCGGTAGGGGAAACCTTTTATCCTTTTGAATAAGAATTGTTCGAACTAATCATTTTTTGGGCTAATTATAGCCCATTTTAATTTTTATTATTTCCAATCAATGAAACAAATAAAAGTGAACTAGACAATTTTAATTCGTTACTCATGATGTAATTAATGATAGGCATTTAAGCTCAAATCCTTCACTTCGCTGTTCTCATTTCACATGATAATATTGATATATATACCCTCTTCAAATAAATTTGCGCCCCGACCAATATCCCAAATTAAGAAAAAATTATGTCATCTGCGTTTTTTAAAGATAATTAACGAATTTCCTATTATTATTATTATTATTATTTTATTAACTAGGAAAGAAAAATAAAAAGTACAGATGATCTGTTTGCTATTCTGACATCACTATAAAAGAATATATATATTATAATAAAAGAAAATACATTCGATATCGAATATAAGTGATATGATGAATTCATTAATAAGAAAAAAAAAATGACACAGGAATTTAAAGATTTGTGAATTAAAAAAATAAACAAGAGTTCTAATCCGTTTTTATTGTATGATTTTTTATTATTATTGATTTCTTTAATCCTTGGATTCGGCCGGTACCTGTCTTGAAATTGAAAGAATTTAATTGAAAACGTTGTCAAGCATTTATATCAATCATCTTTTCATCATCATTTACCTCTTTATTCCCAACAATCATCAAAACTTCCAAGTAATTTCAGTAACACCAAGAGCTTGGGTGCTAATTTTATCGAAAGCGGCTCGTGATAAGTCCAAAGCACCAAAAGGACATCCAGGACATCTATCTACAATTTTACAAGTAACGGTTCCTTTTGGACCGGTTATAGTAACTTTTTTACCACACATTGGATTTTCATTAGGATTTTTCGAGTTACCAAATTGAGGAGCATTAAGCGCTACTATCAAATCTGACCCTGATGAATGTTGACCGCATGCACCTAAACCAGGATCAAAAAATGTTCCACGACCTTTAAATTCATGTTCTTGCGAATAAGAAGTGATTATGTGTTGTGAGAGAATTATAAAAAGTGTTGAGATTACAATGAATTGACTTGAATTTTTTAAAAAATGCATGACAATTTAAATATATGAAACTAAAGATGTCTTCAAGTGCTATTTAAATACTTTCAGAAATATCAGGGATTTATTTATTATTATTTATTATTATTATTATTACTATTATTTGAGAAGGCAACGAATGATTTGAAATTTTGTTTTACTATTTATGTAATTCTATTTGTAATTGAGTAAAGGAAAAACGAACAAATAAACGTGGATTTTTGTAAGAAAAGATAGTATCATTTAAAGATGAGCTCAAAACATGATACCAAAATTTATTTTTCTGACAATCTGAATTGAAGAAGCGTGATAATGCATTTAAACATAATTGTGTTTCGTATAAAGAATTAATTACAAAGTAATTTGAATTATTTGAAGATAACGTATATAATATATATATAATATATTTGTTAAAATCAACTATTTTCTATAATAAATTCTTTCTCCCTGCTGAAACGAAACAAATCCGAAGGTTTACATGTAGGGGAATCATCCCCTTCGTTGTTTATGTTAAACAGATCCTATAGATCTGTTTGGTTCGCTCTAACAATAGACCTCATATAAATAAATATAAATAAATGAAAATAGTTCCTTTTATATAATTATCCAAGATTGTTTTCCACCTGGTTTTCTAATTAAAATTCATTTTCCTCATATAATTCTTTTATATTTTTAAAAAAGATAAAGTAATATCACGTGACCAATATCTCGAGACGCTTAAAAAAAAAAGTTACTAAAAAAAGAATAGGTGCTTGACAATAGAATGGAGGAAATCTAAAAAAAAATTTTTTATGTTACTGTAATGTTAAATCTGAAATTATTTTACTAAAAAATCATATTTAGCATATAAACTTAACTAATTTTTTTTAGATTTCCTTTTTTATTGACAAGCTCCCATATATCAGTTTTTTCTCGAAGGGCACTTTCTTTTGGTGAGGGAGAAATTTATAAATAATAGTTAAAAAAATACTTGAATGACTTTTAACTGATCTCTTTTTGTTGGACGGGATTACCTAAATTCCGATCTATATACGGACAATAAAACGGAGCATACGAAAAAAAATAAGCCATTTCCTTATAATTTAATACTTTAAAAATAGCAAATTTAAAAATGAATTTTATTATCGTTACTTAAAACTATATTTTATATACCGTGTATACTATATATGAAACAAGGGCACGGGGAGCGGCCACATCGAAATTACCCAAAATGTAATGAGGGAGGGACCCATTGAATCAGAAGGAAACGAATTCTTTGCTATCTATATTCTTTTGGCAAAATGGAGCATCTTCCTTATATTCTTTAATCGTGCAATAATACATGCCGTTTCTTTGTTTGAATGTTAACTATTGTTGTTTATCAGTAATGATTCTATCTATGGCTTAATCGACCTTGTGCAACATAAACATAAGAATAAAGAAAAAGATAGGTAAAATTGTTAAATTTGTTAGCGTCCAGAGCGTAACACAGAAATGTTTCCGCTCAAAGTCGATGATTCGAACGGGAGGATGTACTGTGTATATTTATTATTCTTATTTATTGGTCTTGTATTAAAAATTTATATATAAATTCTTGTTTTTAAAATATACAGAATATTCACTTATATAATAATAATAATAATATCGATCGCCCACTAATATGTACAATATAGACGCTACGTTTTACAGGTAGCTTCTTGGAGGTCACATTTCCCGATAGATGATCGTTAGGAAATGATTTTTTAATTTATATATAAATATAATTAATATTGATTTCTTATTATCTATGTAAAGCTATTAAAAACGAAAAAAAAGGAAAAAGGATGATATAAATTGTTGAATTATAAATTAATTGATGATTATCTATGAAATTATGCAGGTTAATATAAGAATTTCGATCTGTTTAAAATTAATGTTCAGCAGTAGAATCTTCATAACTTGGAGGAGCCCTGTGATAATGATTCCTTTGCACATTTAAAAGATTATGTCTTCCATCGTGACAGCTATTCTCGTAGGTTCTACTGCCTTCGTTCTCCCCCAAAATTAATTTGGCCATCCTTAAATATTCTGGATGACAAGGGCAATAAAAACTATCATCTTCATAACTTGGTAAAGCAATATAATCATTTATAGCTTTACAAGATAATATGGTTATAGGTACACTAATTTTTAATTCCGCTCTCTTTGGTGAATTCGATTGTGGTAAAGATATTTGAAAACTAAATTTCAAGTCATGAGCTACGCTGATCAACGGTGTAGCGCAAGAATAATGAACAGGTTGTGAACACTTTGGTAAATTTAAATTCATTAATTCTTGATACACAATGTTTCCAACATCCCCTTCTTCTTCCTCTTCAATTAATCGATTCTCTCCAAATTTATTTAAAGATTGAAATGCTGCTATGCGAGAATCCGTAATCTTTTTACCACATGATGTATAAGTCGTTTTTTCAAATAATTGTACGTTCACCCCAGTAACCTTTAATTTTTTCACATGCGGACAAATTTTCATTTCGATTGGAATTTTTTGCCCTAATGGATAGGCTTTCTTTGGAATGTTAATCTCATAGGACAACATATCATTAAATTCCCTTGCAAATCCAATCCCTTGAGAATTTAAGTGATCAGGAATCGTACGTAAAATTTCAACTTGTTGTTGTAATCGAATATTGGATGATAATCTTGACCTAGAAGCTTTTGCTGTTAAATAATATTCTACCTTTCCTAATTCTGCATTTGTCGTCACTGGTAAATTACCGGGTAGAAACAACTCGAACGGATAGGTGCGCGTTCCGGATGGCAATTTATTAGATGATGAGGAGAATGATGATACAGATGATGATGTTGATGATGATGATAATTTACGTGCGAGTAATCTGAATCGAGATGGATTTATTGCGTTATTATTGATGTCTTTTGATTTCTTTGAAGGTTCAAGAAAATTCCAAGTGTGAGAAATGATTTCTCGTTCTTCGGAAACGGTTTTTTTATCTAATCATAATCCCATAACGTTAATTAATGGTTTTGGGAAATGAATTTAACCACCATGCTTTTGTAATTCTTAACTTACCATCATTCCAACTGGTGTTGGTTTTACCAATAAACTTCATCTCTAATTTTCTTATATTCGTATCCCTTGCTAAATTTAAAATCAACTCCCCTCTCAAAATACATCCAATAGCTTCTTCAGGTTTATCACGAAAGAAAATCACCGGTTCGACCAATTTTAATTCTAAGCTTGTTTTTATTTTATCAAATTTTAATTTTTGCGGTATAGCATTACTTAATTGATGAGCCATGATTGGGGAAAATGTTTGTGGAATCGTTTCAGTGGATGACGCTGAATGTGTCATTGTTGTAAATGATGAATCTGATATTTCGTGTTGGAAGGTTCGTAAAGTTGTTGACATGTTGTTTGTATATATTTATATTTAATTTTATATTATTTTTTGGTAGGGATTTTTTTTTAAAAAAGTCAAAAGGGATATTTTATTTTATTTTTTTAAAAAAAAAATAAATGTTTAAAAAGGGCGGATTCAAATAAAGAAAAAAAAATATAAGTAAAAAAAAAAAGAATTGAAAACTACTTTATATAAAGGAATTCCAGAAAAAAAATTTTTTTCTCGTCCTGCGAAAAAAAAAAAATTATATTTATTTTTTTTTTTTTTTTGGAATGGTATTATTTGAATCAGAGGATAAACATCCCGAAATTCCGACGTTTTTATCTTTTTCTATACATACTAATAATTCATCTCCTCTAACTTTGTTAGTTAAATTAGAAAATAAAAAAAGGTCGTATCACGTAACACCACCACAATTTTTATGCACAATGGATTCTCTCTTGAGAAGCTTTTTAATATTTGAAATTTTGAATATTGTATTAAGTAAGGATTTTGATGATCTCATTTACGTTTGAAATTCCTTAAAAAATTTTATAGGAGGCTATAAAAGAGGAAATTGACGAGATACAAACTATTATTAGATGTTAATTCATCTGAATAATCCCTATTAAATTTATTTGGAAATTTCCAATAGATTTCTTCATAGAAAATAAACAAATCATTTTTCATACGAGAATATATGCGAGATTAGACCCTGAATTGGCGATTACCAAAAGCTATTATAACAATGATTTTAAGGTTGGAGAAGAAAAAAAAATTTGTTTTTGCCAAGTTTTTTTTATTAAATAATTCCTTTCGTCATTTTTAAACACTACATGTGAACTTGGTCTTACCAATTTATCAATTTAAAGGACCCGGACGTAAACAAAAGTTACCTCCAAAAAATATAAAACATCACGATACATATTCTTTGTTTACCCTTGTGTATCCTTCATTGTTAAATGTTACATACTTGAAACCATTTATAGATTGGCGTAATCATTACGTATCTTCTTTTTTTCTTTTTTTTTTCTTTTTCTTTTGATGCAATCGCTTTATTTTTTTTCAATCCTTTTTGCATATTTGTAAATATATATATGCACATTTTTAATTCCCACACGACACTATGCCACATTTAATAAAAAATTTCATTTAAAAAATCAATGTTGATCACAAAAAAAAAAGTTTATTTTTTTTTTGCAATAATAAATGGTTCTAAACTTATTTGGAATTCATGATTAAAAAATGTAAGCGATGACGGTTATGACGTTTTTCTTAGAACATATGATGATGATTTCCTTGTTTCATCTAATTATAACAATCAGAAATTTATCTTAGAATAATTAATTCAATCGGCGTTAAACCTTTTAATAATATAGAAATCGGCTTTATTGAACTTATTTATATACATATTTAGTGATTAAATATCAGAAAATATTATGTTGTTTTGAGACATTTAGAAATTTCAGTCAAAAATTCTTTTATTATCAATTATAAAAATATTATATTTTCTTAATTATACTTTAAAAATCAGTATCCTTAATCATACTATTGAAAAATAAATTAGCATGCAAATTATAATAAAATTCTTTAAATAAAAAAAAACTTTTTAATTTTTATTTTTTCAGATCATTACAGATAAACTTGATATAATAATCTATAAATAAACTTATTTTATAACTTTTTTTTCAAATCAATTAATTTTATTATTATATATTAAATTTTATGATATTATATATATAATGTAATTCTTAATTATAAATCATATAAGAATATATAATATATTTATTTATAATAATTAAGTCGTAATCTGTGAATGATTGGCATCAGATCATATGATTTTTTATAGTAAATTTGGGGATAAGTAATTTAATAAATAACTATATAAAGTTTGAATCTCTCATTAACAATTTTAATAATAATTCCAAACCTATATGTTATTTTAATAAAATCAGATTCTATAGTTTCTGAACTCCATTATAATCCTTATTCTTTTTCTTTTTATTGTTAGATAATTTCAAATGAAAAAATATTTTCAATTAGATTAGGATAATAGACTAAAGTTCAAATTCATAAAAAGGAATTTGTTTTAACAATACAAGTTAGTTCTGAAATCGTATATTTTTTGTTTATTATTTTTTCTTAATATGAAAAATCATGTGATATGACGTCATTTTGACTATTTCGCGACTTTAGCCTTCAATGGTCAAAATGATTTCGACCATTTCGACCATTTCAGATATCCGAAATGATTCATTTCAACTTCATATATAATCGGGATATCATTTATTAATTTATTTTTTTGTTCGAAGTAAGATATAGCGTATATAATGTATCACTAAAATAGTAACTGATCAAAAGCATTCATCTAATAGTACAGATATTGAGCAGGAATTTATCAGACGTACAGAGAAAATAGCCAAATTACTTAGACCTGAGCAAAATGCAAAAGTGTATAGTATGCTTTTTGGTGAAAATAGAAAGCTAAAGAAACAATTAGAAGATTATCATTTCCAATCTAATACTTTAAAAAGGAGAGTAAAAAAATTGGAGAAAGATGTGAGATCCTTAAAAGATGAATTAAAAGATCTAGACGAATGTATGGATAGGGAAACTGTGGTCAACTTAATACAAGAAATAGCTTTCTCGCCAAAGATCAAAAAATGTAAAGGTTTCTCCTATTTATCTGAGTCTTCCAAAGATTCTAATTCAGTTGAGATAATTTAGATAAGAGATAAAAAGACTGTTCTTCATAAGCAACGAAGAAAAGCACAATGAAGAAAAGTTAAATGGTTTGTAATTTGAAGTGATGAATTAGCTATTCAGACTAAGTGATGATATACACTATAATTCTAGAACACCAGATTGTTCTCTAACGCTTATGGATAGATTTATTTATTATTTTTGAATATTATATACCATAATAAAAAATGATAATTGTGAATTATGTAGTTGAAGAAAATATCCCTATTGAAGCATCAATTGATACATCCACTGATGTAAATTGTATTAGCCAAAAACATATTGATAAATTAGGAATTACATATCACAGTGAAAGTAATAGCATTGTAACTCTGAATGCATCCTATTTCATATTAGGAAAGATCAATCTGCATATTGGTTTTGAAGATGACGAGAAGCATAAAAGCACACCCGTTGAATTTATGGTTCTTGGGCCAGATTGGTGAGGTCCTGAATTAACTTTAGGAATGCTATAGTTATGAGAAAATAGTGCAACTTTGGATATATGTAATTCAAAACTTTTATTAGACAATAATTTTGCGATCTCATTCGAAAAAGTAGACTATATTTCGACATTATCTGATAGTCAAATTCGAACTATGACTGATTTTCCCAACCTAACTGATAGCCCAAAGTAGTGATCATGCGAAACGCCTTTAGTCTTGCTCAAAAGATATTTTTCGATTAAAGATACAACATATAATACAGATTATTTATGACGCATACAAGTGTTTTTAATATAGCAGAAATATTAGAACAGGTTTTATATTTTCTAGCAAAAGATAAATCTCTTTACTTCACTCTATTCATATTCTGATTGTGGTATAGATGCAGTGCTCATATTTTATGGAAATGCATCAAGCTAAAGAGAAGTAATACACAAAAAAATTTTATGAAAATAATATGTGAGGAGCAGAAGCCAATTTATTGCTCGATTGTAACTCATCTAGAAATTCCAGATTACCATCTTTCAGATAAAAAATTCAAAAGCATTGTAGGCCTGTTCTCAAATATAATACATTTAAATTTACATTATAGTGTGAGATTTAGTGATAAAATATTAAACTGAATAGCAGAATCATATCCCAATCTGAAGTACCTCAACTTGGGAGGGTATGATGATAATAGATTAATAACTGATAAAGGTTTATATGCAATCGCAAATTCATGCTATAAATTAGAATATCTGAATATTTCTAGTCGCAAAGAATTTTCTGAAATAATGATTGGGAATGTTATTCATTCTTGTCTGAGGATTCAAGAGTTCATTATTTACGGATGTAAAATATCCAATACAACCATCAAGAAAATTGAATTATATCTTAAAATAAAATATATTAATCCAGATACCGCTACCCGATATTTGAAAAAAAATTGGCTGAAGTCAGATGTGTTTTTTTAGCTCTTCATCTAAAGGTTAATTTATTTTTTTGATTAAAGATACGGAGTATATTATTTATGGTGCATTCAAGCATTTTAATTATACCAGAACTATTAGAGTAGATTCTATATTTTCTAGTAGTAGATAAGACACTGTATCCTACTCTATTTGTATCCCGATTGTGGTACAGATGCAGTGCTTTTATTCTATGGAAACACATTAAGCTAAAGGAGAATGACTTGAGATGTTAGCACTATTTTCCAAATGGATATGTTTATAATGAGAAAGATTGTATTTGATTGGAAAGATTTGTAAAAATATTATACGAAGAACATAAGTCAGCTTATGTCTCAAATACAACTCATCTAGAAATTACTTTTTACCATTCACTTTTAGATGAAAAAAATAAAGAGTATTGTAGAAACATTTCTGAATATAATTTATTTAGATTTCAAAGATAGTATAGGTTTTAGCGATAGATCACTATTTGTAATAGCGGAATCATATCCTAATTTGAAATATATTAATTTGTGGGATGCTCAAATAACTAATAAAGGTTTATATGCAATTGCGCAATTATGTTATAAATTAGAATATCTAAATATTTCTTACTGCAGAAATATTAGCGATAAATATTTGTTTGAAATCACAGGAAATTGTCATGATTTGCAAGAGTTTTATTTTGCTGAAGCACGTCGAATCACAGATAGATCTATAAGTTGCATCTTAAACTTATGCCTAAATTTATGAAAACTTGATATTGCTTTTAGTCGTGAAGATATCAAAGATGCTAGTACTTTAATACAAAGATGTTTTAATATAGAGTATCTTGACTTTAGTGGGGTTATGGCTTTGCAGAATAATGTATTAATTATAACTATTATCAAACGATCTCCAAATTTGAGACATATAGAAATCAGTGGTAATGATATTGATGATGAGATTACTGAAGTGTTAGCCTATACTTGTTATAAATTAGAATATCTCGATCTAAGTTGCTGTTCTTTTGTCAGTGAACCATCGATTTGTAATGTTATACATTCCTGCCCAAGACTCTAGCATCTCAAACTCAGATACTATAATATTACTAGTATGACTATCAGAGAAATTGTTCACTTATGTCTCAATTTAAAATTTCTAGATTTGGAAGGATGTGAAAATATTAGCAAAAAAAGCCATGAATCAGCTCAATCAAAACATTCATATCAATAATTTTGATAAAGAATACTGCTCTAATTCAGAACCTTCAAGCTCTGGCTTTGAAACTGAATCAGATGATAAGAATGTCTATAGTAATAATGTGCCTCTTCCTGTATTTATGAGTACAATTGATACTACAAATGATTTTATTTCTGAACTTCTTAATAAGAATGGTGATCATCAGCTCAGAAGAATTTGCTTATCCATGCATAGTGCCTGTCTCTTCATTCTTTTTGATTAAAAAATCCTGGTAACTATTGTTACCCTTGAAATTAGATCTGCAAAATTGATCTACAGATGATCTACAGTTAATCAAATTAGTACTACAAAAT